GTCAAGTACTTTTGTATTGTTGCTAAAACTAATAAAAATGTGAATTATAAAAATCAATTCGATAAAACTACTTTTTTCCGAAAATACTGGAACGGTCATCGGGAAAAATATCAAACCACGAACAATCAATAATACAATCTTTGAGGTAATTGAAATTTGTCTTTGTAATTCAATACAATGCATTTCACAATACGAAATCGAAAAAAAAAACAATTGTCACTGTACATATTTCTGGTATAGATTGAGAGGACAATACCTAAATACTTAATAGCGGAAATGTCAAGGTTTTCTGCAAGTACTTGATAAAAAATGAAATTTAGCTAATTTTCCGTATGAACTTATCGCAATCAAAATCAAATCGTTTTTTAGTTTACTAGCTCAAAAATAAGTAAAAGCCGGTAATAATACACATCTTACATTTCAAGCGCTTAAAATCATTTGGTCACACTTAAACGTAAAACTATTCACTCCCTTTTTATACCCTACAACACTATATGTTGGGGACATTATAAGTTTGATTGGGCCAAAAATTATGTAACACCTCGAAATATTGGTTTCGCACATAGGATGTTTGATATGTATGTCCGTCCGCCCGTCTGTCACGCTACAGGTCTCAATTATGGCCCGATCCTCACGAAACATGGTGGTGGGGTTATGGTCAGAATATAAGCCTTTTGCTTTTGGAGATGATATCATAATATTTAGGGGTGAAATGGACCAAAAACCTGCTTTTGCATTTGATCTACAGATCGCAATTACACACGCAATCGACGTGGAACTTAGCACGGGACTAGATCTTTGGGCTGGGCAGATGCCTTTCAATTTGGATGGTCATCTGACCGTTACGTAGACGCCGAAAGTAATTACATATCGGATATATATATAGCGAAATATAAACAATGTGTATATACAAAGAAGGGGATGAAAGCTAGAAGACTTATATCTCAAAAATGGCTGGACCAATTTTGACAAATTTTGTTAATTCAGAATGTTCTCTTGGCGCAAAAGAATAAAAAAGATGCCAATAATGATGTTAATACAGATTTTGTAGTATTTTTGAAAATATTTATTTTTTCATATTTTTTATAGCATGCAATTTTTTCAATTTGACTAATAATATTGAAAAGTAATTTTGTAATATTTTTTCACCTTATAACACAGGTTGGGGATATTATATAAAGATTGCAATTACCGTCCGATCCTCATGAAAATTTTCATAAGGTTACGCTCAGAAGGGCTACCCCTATTGTTTTTAAAGATGACTGCAATATATTTAGTGGTTGAAATGGACCAACAACCAAAAATGATCCTGGTTTTGCACCCGTTATAAAGAAACCAAAGGACACGAAATCTCGCATTAATTAAAGTTTAGGATAGCGGGTAATATGGACCACTTCTTTTGTGTGAAAAAGAAAAAAGAAGAAGTCTAGCATTTTTGGTGACAATTGGATTTCATTTGAAATAGACCACAACAACTAATAGCACGACGGAGTGCGTAAAAATTGGGCAAATGTCCCTGGTCAAAATGTTAACTGTAATATCTGGGCAGTGCTCCATGACATAATTTCACAAGCGAAATCTTCCGAAATGGATTTGGCCATACGGGGGCTTTTGACATATTGTAGTGTTGTAGGGTATCACATGGTCGGCCCAAATATTATGCGGTCTTCTCCAAAAGCAATAGGCTTCTATTCTGACCATAACCCCACCTCCCTGCAAAATATTGTGAGGATCGGGCCACAATTGCGACCTGTAGCGTAATTAAAAATTAACATGGATATATGGACGGACGGATATACATAGCTAGATCGAATCAGTTCGCTGAGATAGGAAGAGCCACATATAGTTTCCCACGTGGGAAACCAATATTTCGAGATGTTACATAATTTTTGGCCCAATCAAAATTAAAATACCCCCAACCCATAGTGTTGTAAAGTATAAATACTTATTGGAGCAATAAATATACTGGACCAAGTTTCACTAAATTGTAAAAATCAGTTGAATATGAAAAAATCTATTCAAATTGGGCTTATATTACATAGGGTAAGTGTGCCTAAGTTCGGCATGTCCCAGTAGTCGGCACTTTTTATTTTTAAGCCCAAATAAATGAAACTATTATAACTAAATGTATTTTGTTTACTTCAAATATATTGCCAGCTATCTTTGCGCACAATTTCGCTAAGAAAAGATGATTTATTCTAATAAAAATTACATTTCTGTGGAGGTCCTCAACAATTCATATTCTTAAGAAAAGTACAATCAGTTTACCTAAGCAAAAATATTATATTTTAATGAATTAATTTATTATTATTATTATTAATTATTCTTACAAAAAAATTGGTATGCCGACTGTTGAAACATGCCATACCGACAATTGGCCGGCTACTGGCAAAAAGCATTGTTTTAATAAAACTACAAATTTATGAAATTTAATAAAAAGTCATTAAAACTTTATTTATTATTGCAAAAACTATACAAAATTTCGAATCTGAATAAATTAACTTTGTAATAATTGAAAAGTTCCACTCAGAATGGTTAGCGATTAAAAACGCGAAAATCCTAAAAGTGCCGACTACTGGTACACTTACCCTATATGGTGAACAATAACTGTAAAATCGGATGAAGATGTATATCGAAGCCACATAAGAATCTGAACGAATCTCAATAAAATTTGACAGAGGTATTTTCGAGCAGTGTCTGATGTTCGGTACTAAAAATCATTCTTGTGGAGGGCATGTTACGCATGTGAGGGACTTTAACACCAAATCGCATAAAACATATACATGGGAATTATAGATATATCTGAAGCGATTTTCACCAAATTTAATGTACTTGTTATACCCTCAGCCATATGGCTACAGAGGGTATATCATTTGATACGGTAAAAACGTGCCTAATCGAAAAAACGGTTTTAGACCCTAGGTCTCTTTGGACCAAATCCGTTTCAGAACATTTGGAGTCGATCTAGCGATGTCCGTCCGTCCGCCCGCCTGTCTGTCTGGCTGGCTGGTGCGCACGATAACTATCGAAGGGAGTATCCAATTTGGTCCAAACTTGGTACTTCGTAATATCTTTGTCAAACTTAGATCGAGTTCGGAGATGGGCAATATCGGTCCACTCCTTCTGGTACCTCCCCCACAAAAAGGTTGGAATTTGCAAAAAAAATTTTCTTTGCACAGAAAGAGAAAGGATAATCCGATTTTGCTCCAACTTTGCAAATCCTAATATTTGCGTCAGTACTCGGTCAGGTGTGAAAATGGACAATATCGGCCTACTTCATCAAGTACCTCCCCCACAAATGGTCAAAATTTTGAATAATTACAACTCTCATAAAATGTGATGTACGAGTCCGATTGTCTTCAAATTTCACACATCCCAATATTTATATTAACCCAAGATCTGGTGTTAAGATGAGCAATATCGGTCCACTCCTTCTGGTACCTCCCCCACAAAGCCCGAAATTTGCAAAAAAATATTTTTTGGACAGAAAGAGAAAGGATAATCCGATTTTGCTCCAACTTTGCAAATCCTAATATTTGCATCAGTTCTACGTTAGGTGTAAAAATGGAATATATCCGTCCACTCCTTCTGGTACCTCCCCCACAAATGGTCAAAATTTTGAATAATTACAACTCTCATAAAATGTGATGTAAGAGTCCGATTATCTTCAAATTTCACACATCCCAATCATTTTATTAGCCCAAGGTCTGGTGTAAAGATGGAGCATATCGGTCCACTTCTTCTGGTGCCTCCCCCACAAATGGTCGAAATTTTAAAAATATATATTTTCTGCACATAAAGGGAAGCGATAATCTAATTTTGAAAAACATAACGCCCAAAGAATGCAAAATAAGGATCCAACTCTCTTCAAATTTCACACATACAAGCATTTTTGCTAACACCAGATCTGTTGTGAAGATGCTATATATCTGCGAACACCTGCTGGTACCTCACCCACAAAGGGACACAATTGTCAATATTTTTATTTGTCATAAATTGCGAAACAACTCAGCGATTGTTTACAATTGATTTATCCATCTGCTATTATAATATTTATATCATATTTATTTAGGTCAGATACGAAATGAACAATATTGACCCGTCCTTTCAAAACCCACTCCATAGAGGGTGAAGAGGGCTGAGGGTATACATCTGTCGGCAAAATCGACCGATACTTTTTTACTTGTTTTTGGGATAAATTCAGTCGGAATTGCCAAAATTCAGTTTATTTGGACTGATATTGGCCATTTGGTGCACAATAAATCTCGATGAAATTTGATAGAGGTATTTTCGAGCAGTACCAGTTGATACCAGATCAAATATTATTCTTGTGTAGTGCATATTACGAATGTAAGGGATGTAAAACCCCATACCGGATGAACATATGCATATAGGTAAATTTTTGGACCGATTTTCACGAAATTTGATTCAGGTCATTTGAACTGATATTGCCCATTTGGTGCATAATTAACCCGAAATCGGTTAAAGATATATGTATATGAGAGCTATATTTGAACCGATTCTCATCAATTTCAATGGGGTTAGTCCTCACCAAGGCATAATACCCTTACCACTATGTGTTGTAGGGTATAAAAATACTAAGTACTGTACAAAATGTGTGACAAACTAAATATACCTTTCGCACTCTGATGAAATATATAAAACATATTCATTACACAAGGACAGGCGCTAATGATGAACTGTCAAATTGCTTTTTATCTGATGAACAACTCCTCCTGGAATGACATTGACATTTACAATGAAAGAAATATGTCTAGCCAGCTGAAATGAATTAACAGTTGTTAGAGAGCCTCCGCTGGAAAATGATAGTTACAATTTGTTCCTTTACCGTGTGGTTATTGCTACATCAAGCACATGTCGCTGGAAGTTTGGACATGAACATTGAAGATGTCATATATCAATTGAATGAACAACGTGGAATAGAAATCAATATTTTTTTAAGTCTTCAACAAACTGCAAGTGGAAGCTATGCAATATTCATGGATAATATTTTGGTTAAGAATCAAAAACCACTTCCAAGATTATTATATTCCAACTACACTGCCATACAAAACTTAAAGGGGATATTTTCGGAAAATTGTCTAACTGTGGCTTGGATGAACTGGAAGAATCTTAATAGTACTTTGCTGGCGGTAGATAAATTACTGAAAGCTTTATATTTTACCGACTTGCTAATCGTTTATGAAACAATGGATCCCCAACAACTGAATTCACAATTGATGAGTATTTATGAAAAATGCTGGCAATTAGGTATATCCTCTGTCATGGTGTGGACTAATCATGGACTCTACATCTATCATCCGTATCCGAGTATAACTGTGAAGAGATTAGAAAATATTTACGAATTCACCAATAGAAGTTATTTGGAAAACTTCCACGGATATAACATTAAAATACCCACAGTCGATTTTCCACCACGTTGCTTCAACTACACAAATCGCCAAGGACAACTGATATACGCCGGTTATATTTACAAACTTATATCGGTTTTCTTTGCTCATCACAATGGTACAACTGAATACTTTTTTGCGGATATGTGGTCGAAAAATTTCTCCATGGAGTGGGGTTTGACGAAATGTAAACCGGTGGGATGTGCCTTCTTGCCCATAATGTTGGATGCTCACAATTTATTTGTGGCTAGTTGGGCGCCATTTTTAGCGAAAATAGTGTTACTAGTTCCAGCTGCTAAAGAAATATCGGAAAGTTTATATTTGCTGATACCGTTTGATGGCATTGTCTGGGCTATTGTTTTAATCACAGGATTCATCTATTTTCTACTTATGTTTGGTGTAGCGAGACGTTGGAAATCAAACATCGATATTGGTATGATCCTGATGGAGGCCTTTAAAACTATAATTTTTGTGGCATTGGCAACCCCCAAAAGACGGAACATACAACATTTCATGCTGTGTTTACTTTTCCTCTTTACCGGTCTCTTTATTACCAATTTCTATACATCAAGTCTCTGGAGTTTGTATACATCCAAAGTTTATGAAAGCGAAATGAAACTTCTCACCGACATTGGAAACACCAATCTGAAATTATTCATCTACAGCTTAGATAAAGGCTATTTCGATGTCATAGCAAATAATTTACCACCGATAATTAGACAACGTTTATACACCGGAGACGATGACCAATTTACGTCGTACCGCCAAAACCTGAATATGTCCTACATATATCCGGCCATAGAGGACTTGGCCGATTACTTACTTCTGCAGCAAATGTATTTGCGTAGACCAAAGGCCATAAAACTGGCAGAGCCAACTTATCACAGATCTTTTTTCATTTCGATGCAACTGAGAACACCGTTCCTACAACAATTCAATCGCTACTTTTCGCGTTTATTCGAAAGTGGAATCTTTAATAAATTCATGTTAGACGCCCAGTGGGATGGTTTGACAAGTGGTAAATATAAACTACTAAAGGATGACCGAAGTACTAATGAAGCCCTCACAATGTCATATTTTCAATTTGCTTTCATAATGCTGGGATGTGGTTTGGGAATGGCTGTTATTGTATTCGTTGTTGAATTTTTGTGGGGAATTAAAATTATGCTTAATATGTCCAGAGGACGTAAACGAAATAATGTTTTACCATAGATGCGATATTAAAATCGTTTGACAAATAAAATTTGTTTTATTTCCGAAAGCCAAAAAAGTGTTTTATTTGGCAATTGAGCCACTACCACGCATTTTATATCACCCTTCAACACTATGTTGATCATATCTAAAAGACCATATCTTTACGAGCAGTGTCGGTCGCGTTATAACAACTAAAATTGAAAATAAGAGAGCGAAACTTGATATTTGGATAATCTTTTTAAGTAGCCAGAAACTTTGACATACATTTAAGTAGTGTAGGGTATCACATTGCAAAAGAAACTATGAAAAATGTGAGTCTTTTTAAGCCATATTGGTTTCCCACATAGGAAAGTATATATGGATCTTCCTATCTCGCCGAGCTGAGTCGATCTAGGTATGTATGGCCCTCCATCCGCATGTCCGTCTGTCCATGTTAATTTGTAATCACTCTACAAGTCGCAATTATGGCCCGATCTTCACGAAATTTAGAATGGAGCTGGAGCAAGAGGCAGAATAGAATTTTTTCCTGATTTTGTAGTTGCTCTACAGGTCGCAATTATTGACCAATCGAAGCGGGACTAGAGCTTAGGGCTGGACAAAAGCCTTCCAATATTGATGATCATCGGGTAATATTTAGTTGGTGAAAAGGACCATAACTTTTGTGTTAAATGAAAGTCAAATTTTCCATTAGACCGCGAATATTTTTAATCCCGGCGAAATCACAAATAGACGTAGACCCCGATAGTAAATATATCGGATATATACCGAAATAAATACAAATACAAATGTACAAAGGAAGGAGATGTTAGCTAGAATGCTTATATCTCAAGAATGGCTGGACCGATTTTGACAAATTTTGTCAATTCAGAATGCCATCTTGGCCTAAAAGTATAAAATCTAAAAAAAATTGCATAAAAAGATGCCAATAGTGATGTTAATATAGATTTTGTAGTATTTTGTGATATTTTTTATTTTTCCATATTTTTTATCTCATGCTATTTTTTCAATTTGTCCTATAATATTGATGTGTATTTTTATACCCTACAACACTATGTGTTATAAGTTTGATTGGGCCAAAAATTATGTAACACCTCGAAATATTGGTTTCCCACATAGGAAAGTATATATAGATCTTCCTATATCGCCGAGCTGAGTTGATCTAACTATGTATGTATGTCCGTCCGTTAATCTGTCCATGTTAATTTGTAATCACTTTTCACGTCGCAATTATGTCCCGATCTTGAATTTGCAGTTGCTCTACAGGTCGCAATTATGGACCAATCGACGCGAAGTTTGCATAGGACTAGAGCTTTGAACTGGGCAGAAACCTTTCAATTGATGATGATCATCGGGTAATATTTAACGTTTGTGTTAAATAAAAGTCAAATTTTCCTTAAACCGCGAATATTTTTAATCCCGGCTAAATCAGGAATGGACGAAAAGGTCAATTCTGACCATTACGTAGATGCCTATACTAAATATATCGGATATATATAGCGAAATATATACAATGTGTATATACAAAGGAAGGGGATGTTAGCTAGAATGCTTATATCTCAAGAATGGGTGCTCCGATTTTGACAAATTTTGTCAATTCAGAATGCCCTCTTGACATAAAGGTATAAAATCTAAAAAAAAATGCATAAATAGATGCCAATAATGATGTTAATATTGATTTTGAAGTATTTTGTGACATTTTTTTATTTTTTCTTCATATTTTTATCGCATGCGATTTTTTCAATTTGACTTATAATATTGAAGTGCACATTTTGTAATATTTTTTTGCCTTACAACACAGGTTGAGGTTATTATACAGATTGCAATTATCGTCCGATCCTCACGAAAATGTTCATAAGGGTAGGGTTAGGCTCAGAAGGGCTATGCCTATTTTTTCAAAGATGTCCGCAATATATTTAGGGGTTGAAGTGGACCAACAACTACAAATGTTTCCGATTTTGCAGCCGTTATAAAGTTCACAAATAGAAACCAAAGGACACGAAATCTCGCAAGAAGTTTAGGACAGCGGATAGAATGGACCACTACTTTTGTGTGAAAAAAATACCTACATTACAGACTATATCCGAGCATTTTGGACGACCATTGGATTATATATAGCTGTAAAATGGACCACAACAACTAACAGCACGTAAATATTGGGCAAATGTCCTTGGTCAAAATGCTAAGGGTAATATCTGGGCAGCACTCCGTGACATACATTCAAAAATGAAATCTTCCAAAATGGATTTGGACATAAGAAGGCTCCTAACATATTGTAGTGTATCACATGTTCGGCCCCGCACGACTATAGCCTTTGCTTACTTGTTATATATGTTTCAATCGATTTGGAGCTTCAGTCCCTCACATTCGTAATATGTACTCCACAACAATGATATCTCGAACCAGATATCAGATATACCTGGCATTAATTGCGCCCCAAATGGTTAATATCAGCCCATTTGGACGTTTGCACATACAACCGAATTCAGCATAGAATCGAATACTTCAAAGTTGTTTGAAGTTCAAGTTGTATATTTGTTTCATCCGATTTGGGGTTTAAGTCCCACGAATTCGCAATATGCACTCCACAAAAATGATATTTCGTACCAGATATCAGATTCAGCTAAGAAATATCTCAGTCATTTTATCGCGATCTGTTCAGATTTTGTTGACTTTATGATAACTACACCACTATGCTTATTAAGTAGCTCTACTTAAGTAGCTCTTATTAAGTAGCTCTACCCTCAGTATAAATAAACGTTTATCTAAGGAATTTATGAGGAGTAGAATAATTCCTATCAAAATGTCATTCACAAACTGACATAATGGCTGACAAAACCGACAACAGAGAGAAAACTTCTGAAGAAATGCTGTGGTTTCTAATGAACACCCAACTCCACCGACATATAGGGAAACAGAGGAACAAGTAGTAGTTTCAAGCTAACCGGAATTTACCACTCTCGCCTTCAATTTGCGAACACACCGAATGCCTGGCAGAAAGCAAGGGTTGTTGTCAAACCCGCAAACCAGTTACGCAACACCACAATACGGGCAGTTAATACCACGATTACGAACAAAATCCCAAACGAATCGTTAAATTTCAAACATCATGCATATCAGGGATGTATAAAAGGAGATCAGTGGAAGCCGAGGCTGTACACCACATTGAGAGTACTTTCGAAAAGAAAATGCACACACTTGTTAGGTGCATAGATATTGAAGGTGACCTCAACAACGTCAGCGTCGATTCGCTTATCCAATCCTAAGTTAACTGATTCTTCGGAACTGAAAAAGCCACATGCTAAGGAATAAATGAATAAGCTACAAGCTACGCGGCTTAAGGGAGAATCTTTTCACCACTTCTGGGTGTAGCTACCATAAACAGTTTTTTAAGGAACCTAACAAAGAAGGGATTTGCACTTGTCTAGTACGCAGACGATGTTATAACACTTCTGAGGTGAATGAATCCTAATTTACTGTGCAAAAGGGCCGAAACGGTCCTGAAGATAGCTTACAATTGGAGCAGGACAAGAGGTCTAAATATAAACCCGAGAAACGGAACTATGATATTTTAACAGGGAGACCTTGACAAACCAGTCTTCCGGCAAGAGATATCTAATAACTCTAGTAACGTCAAGGACCTAGAAGCAATGCTGGATAAAAACATTATCTAAAAAGACCACAAAGTTCACAGAAGCTGGTCAACATTTTAACATGGGCACTAAATCAAAAAATGACCCACTATCAGTAGTCTGGTAAACACCAAAGGATAAAAAGTGCAGTGCCTAGGTATAAGCGAAGCAAAGAGGCCTGCCCTAAAGCCACTTCTTTATATAAACTCTGCAAAGCAATGAGGCTGAACACGATGGAAGAGTGGATCAACAAACAAGCGACATACCAGCAAACAATTATACAGGTCACTATGGGAGACTCAATGAAGGAAACGATTTCTTATAGAATTCCTTAAATGAAATTAGTTGCCCTATATCAAAGACTCGTGGAACAAGGAAAACCTAGCGAGTATGCCATCCGCAAGCTGCTGCTTCACGGACGGCTCAAAGTTAGGGGAGAGAACGGAGCTTGGCCTCTTTATAGGGAACCTGGAAACGGAAGTCTCTCGCCACCTATCGAATCACACTGCGGTTCTGCGGAAATCCAAGCAATCACAGAACTTCTGAACTGCTTTGGTACTAACGCATAACCAACTACCATGAATATCCTAATGTGCAGTAAATTCGCCATCAGGGCAATAACAGCATAACGACGATCAACAACTACTCCCAACAAGGATCAGTACGGATCATGTAGACATCAAATCATAAACGGTTTAGAGGTATCGAACAGGAAAATTCGCTTGCGAAAAATGTCTGAAGTTGAAGATTCTTAAATATAGAATGTATAAAGCCATTAGAGTTAGTACAACTAGATTTTATAGTTTTAGGAAAAATATCCCCACATCCCCGTGGTATGACGAAAACATATTAAAATATACGAAGATCCTGTGGGGGGACCAAATGAGGATAAGACAAATGACTTAATATAATTAAGTAAAGCTGAAATCAGCAGACTACCAGGTGAAATCACGGGACAGCTGGGTTGCAAGCAAACTTACGCAGGATAGTTTGTATAGACCCTACCAACGTTAGGGGGAACGTAATAAAAATTAAATTCCTAATATAATATTGAATATTTTACTATTTCCAACATGAATTAAAACATCTTTTTTATACACTCCACCATAAGTTTTATACCCTACAATTAAGTTTGTCATTTCGTTTGTAACACCTCGAAATATACATTTTAGAGCCCACAAAGTATATACCACGTTTTGGTACAGCCCCCATATAATGGTACTTCCCTTTTTTATACCCTCCACCATAGTATGGAGGGTATATTAAGTTTGTCATTCCGTTTGTAACACCTCGAAATATACATTTTAGACCCCATAAAGTATATATATTCTTGATCAGCATAACATTCTATGTCGATTTATCAATGTCCGTCCGTCGGTCTGTGGAAATCACTCTAGCTTCCGAACGAAATGAAGTAGGTTGATAACATTTTACTTAAATGTCTATTATGCCTGCAGGACTTTTGGTATTGAAAATGGACCATGTAGGTCCACGTCTTCGTATAGCCCCCATATAACGGTGCCTCCCGATATTCGGTATTTCAATGATTTTAGCGACATTATTTACCGGAATTGTTTCAATTTTGGTATTTGAAGTTCGTAATGGATACTACATCCTAAGACTAAAAATGAGCCATGTAGGTCTACGTCTTCGTATATCCCCCATATAACGGAACCCCCAATATTCGGTATTTTGATGATTTTAGCGACATTATTTACCGGAATTATTTCAAATTTTGTATTTGAAGTTCGTAATGGATGCTACAGCCTATGACAGAAAATTGTCAGGGCAGTTTCAATTATAATCCCCATGGTACACCTTCCTATATTCGGTATTTTGATGATTTTAGCTACATTATAAACAGATTTTTTTCAAGTTTCGCTTTTGAATATTGTAATAGCTTGTGACAAAAGTTGCCTATGCAGGTTCAAGTCGTCGTATAGACCCTAATATACGGCTACATTCGGTATTTTTAAGATTTTAACAGAATTTTTAACAGATTTTATTGTTTTGAAAATTGTTAAATTTGTACCAAATGGTGGAGAGTATTCAAAGTATTTTGGTGATTTAAGCGACATTATTTGCCGGAATTGTTTCAAACTTGGTGTTTGAAGTTCGTAATGGATACTACAGCCTATGACAGAAAATTGTCCGTGCAGGTCCACGTCTTCGTATAGCCCCAATATAACGGTACCCGCCTATATTCGGCATTTTGACGATTTTAGCTACATTATTCACCGAATTTTTTTATTCATGTTTCGCATTTGAGTATTGTAACGTTTATGACATAAGTTGTCCATGCAGGTCCACCCTAATATATTTTTAAGATTTTAACAGAATTTTTATCGGATTTTATTTATTTATTTATTTTTTTATTTTTTATTTTGGAAATTGCCAAAATCGTTCTAAGTGATGGAGGGTATTCAAAGATCGGTCCGGTCGAACTTATGGCTTTTTTACTTGTTAAAACTGTATTCTATCCTTATAGCGCACAACAGGCCGGTTTACGTGTACGTCCATAAGAAACTAGAAGTTTTAACCCGACATTTCAATTAGTCATATTTTTGATAGAAAAATACTTGATATTCAGTTTAGCCCGACTTCAGTTCCATTTCCAAACATAAGCGACATAACTGCTATATTTTTTCATACAAATAATAAAACACATTTTATTTCTTAATTTTTATTTAAATCACAATTATTCTTTATTGATATTGGCACTATCATACTTGTCCATAACATCACGGGCATATTTCAATTCTTCCAACAAAACACGTAACTGGGCATTGTCTATGTTCAGCACATGTGTGGTATTCTGAGGCAAGCCATTGACCAATTCCTGTGAGATTTTCAGCTCAAAACGACTACAATTTATGCTATCCGGAGAGGGTGGCAAAAAACGTAACGATTCCAACTCGTTAACTGAAAATAACATTTTAAAGTTATTAAGAAAAAAAACGTAAATATTTCTTATTAAAGCATAGGACAACTATTAGTAGCTTACTTTTAAAAGACTTATCAATCAAACGTTGACGTATTGCTGTGGCATGTTCGGTTAGTACGGAACACATTGCGGCTGCATGTTCCTTAGGCAGACCCAATTGTTGGATTTCTTCATTGAACACCAGTTCGCTGGCGTTGTGACGGGCAGCATTATTCAGCAAGAAATGTATACAGGCTACTGCTGTCTTTCCATCAGCAGAGACGGATGACGTCAATGCCTTTACTTCGTCTTCCTGCAAATTTTTTAATCGGTAATTTATGAAAAATGACAAATGATAATTAACGTTACATCAAAATTCTGCCCCAATATCTTTTTCGCCACCATATCAGCCAGAGTTTTCAATTTGCTCGCTTCCAATACAGAGAGCGTAGATATAATTTCTCCCAACACCCAGTCGGGACAATCGCCATCACCACAGAAGCGAAATTTCTGCAATAGAGAATAAAGAACAATATTGAACGTGAAATTGGTGTTAATTGTGCGTGAAATCGTAATTATAATTAAAAAATGGCACAGATTGTTTATTTTGTTTAATTGGTGTACAAATTATTGAGCGAGGGCGTTGGACATGATTAAAGATGACTAACATAATTTTAAGACAAATTTTAGGCATTAAGTTAAACCACTTTTATGTGACCTTTTGCAATGTGTTTTTATACCCTCCACCATAATATGGAGGGTATATTAAGTTTGTCATTCCGTTTGTAACACCTCGAAATATACATTTTAGACCTCACAAAGTATATATAAAAGCATAAAATGTTATGGCGATTTATCGATGTCCGTCCGTCTATCCGTCTGTGGAAATCACTCTAGCTTCCGAACGAAATGAAATAGGTTGATAAAATTATACTCAAATGTGTATCATGTCTGCAGGACTTTTGGTATTGAAAATGGGCCATGCCCCGTCCCCGTATAGCCCCCATATAACGGTACCTCCCGATATTCGGTATTTTGATGATTTTAGCGACATTATTTATCGGAATTCTTTCAAATTTGGTATTTGAAGTTCGTAATAGATACTACATCATAAAACAGAAAATGGGCCGTGTAGATTAATTTCTTCGTATAGCCCCCATATAACGGTACCTCCCGATATTCGGTATTGTGATGATTTTAGCGGCATTATTTACCGGAATTGTTTCAAATTTGGTATTTGAAGTTCGTAGTGGATACTACAGCCTCTGACAGAAAATTGTCTGTGCAGGTCCACGTCTTCGCCACGCCCCATATAACGGTACCCCCCCCCCCCCTATATTCGGTATTTTGATGATTTTAGCGACATTATTTGCCGGAATTATTTCAAATTTTGTATTTGAAGTTCGTAATAGATACTACAGTCTATGCCAGAAAATTGTCAGTGTAGGTCTACGTCTTCGTATAGCCCCCATATAACGGTACCCCCGATATTCTGTATCTTGATATTTCTAGCGACATTATTTATCGGAATTGTTTCAAATTTCGCATTTAAAGTTCGTAATTGATACTACAGCCTATGCCAGAAAATCGTCTGTGCAGGTCCACGTTTTATAACCCCCATGGTACCTCCCTATATTTTGAAGATTTTAGCTACATTATAAATAGATTTTTTTCAAGTTTCGAATATTGTAATAGCTTTTGACAAAGTTCTTTATGCCGGGCCACGTCGTCGTATGGACCCTAATATACGGCTACATTCGGTGCTTTTAAGATTTTAACAGAATTTTTAACGAATTTGCCGGAATTATTTCAAATTTTGTATTTGAAGTTCGTAATAGATACTACAGTCTATGCCAGAAAATTGTCAGTGTAGGTCTACGTCTTCGAATAGCCCCCATATAACGGTACCCCCGATATTCTGTATCTTGATATTTCTAGCGACATTATTTATCGGAATTGTTTCAAATTTCGCATTTAAAGTTCGTAATTGATACTACAGCCTATGCCAGAAAATCGTCTGTGCAGGTCCACGTTTTATAACTCCCATGGTACCTCCCTATATTTTGAAGATTTTAGCTACATTATAAATAGATTTTTTTCAAGTTTCGAATATTGTAATAGCTTTTGACAAAGTTCTTTATGCCGGGCCACGTCGTCGTATGGACCCTAATATACGGCTACATTCGGTGCTTTTAAGATTTTAACAGAATTTTTAACGAATTTTACTTTTTTTGAAAATTGCCAAATTTGTACCAAATGGTGGAGGGTATTCAAAGTTCGGCCCGGCCGAATATATATCTTTTTTATTTATTTTTTCATCATCTTAGCACGTCCGTTACTTCACTCTATGTTGGTTGATTTACAACCCCATATATAGCTTAACTGCACTCTGTACTGGGCCATAATCTGTCCCCAATATTATGGGGAACAAATTCCAAATGAGTTTTATTTAAACGAAAACACTCTTTAAATCAAGTACGCAAAAGCTATAGTAGCGCGTGGCGACCATGTGATACCCTACAACAGTACAATATATTGAAAGCTCCATTATGTCAAAATCTAATTTGGAAAAATTCGCTTTTAATATCATGTCATAGAGTCCTGTCCAGATGTTACACTTAGCTTTTTGATCGGGACATTTGTCCAAATTTACGCACTCCCTCGTCTTGTTAGGCATTCAAAACAATTTCACAGGATGGTTGTAGTCCATATTACAGCTAAACTTCTTCCCTGTTCTTAAATTTCTTCTCATACGAAATTCCGTGTCGATTGGTTTTCAATTATCACCTGTAGAGCGACAGCAAAATCAGGAACATTTTAATTGTTTCGCCCATTGGAACATCATCAGAGCTGTCCTCTTCGTGTTCTTCTCATTTCGCCGGGATAAAAATATTCGCGGTTAAGTGGAAATTTTCCTATTTTTGACATAAAAGTTGTACTTTATTTTACCCGCTACTTTACTTTATTTTACCCGCTCTAAATCCATCAAAATTCGGCGTCGATTGGTTTATAATTGTGGCCTGTAGAGCAACAACAAATTCAGGGAAATTTTCTGTTTTTGTTTAATTTCAACGCCTACATATTTTGCGATCATCTCCAAAAACAATATGCTAATATTTCGACCCTTTCCCCACCTCCATTTTCAATTTCAAGAGGATCGGGCCATAATTGCGACTTTTAGCGTGGTTACAAATTAACATGGACAGACGGAGGAGCGGACATACATAGATAGATCGACACAGCTAAGCGAGATAGGAAGATCCATATTTAGTTTCCTATGTTGGAGACCAATATTAATTACAACTTAATAAATAGTGAGCTAAAAAACGAATTGCACATCTCAAGAATATTTGATTAACTGCAACGCATTTCAGACATTTTGAAATATAAAATGCGTGGGAAAATTCTTATGAAAGTGCTTGTGTTCTCCAAACGATAACTTAATAAATGCTTGTTTATTCACTTTTTCTTTAGTTTGTCTTTTTTTCCCTATAATATGCAGCGAAATATGTTGCTCACATTCACAAAACAAATAACTCAAATGTTTGCAGTAAACAAATGAGCAAATCCTTCGAGATATATATAAATGTGAAAAGTTTTATAGCAAGGATACAGAACAAAAAACAAACAAATAAATTCTAAATAACTAACCAACAGTAGATGGTCGATTTATTATTTCTTTGCAACTTTATTAGCAGGGAAAAGAGAGGCAATGTATAATGACTGTAAATTAAATATGACTGGAAGTCTTAAACTTCGTTAAAAAAAATCCGGGTACAACTCTAGTTTAGTAAAAACTCTTCGATTTTTTCGAAATCTTTTCCAGAGGTTGGCATTTTTACCCTGATTCCTGAAAACTATTTTTTTCTTGGGGGACGGACCCGGGAACCCTGAAATTATAGTCAAATTATCGATTTTTTGCAACCGAATTTTTTATAAAACCTCCAAAAAGTTCAAAACGGGCTCATTATGAGGGTAAACAAAATTAGTGCCAAGTTATAGCTGACACTCTTACCTTTCCAAAATGCTACAATTTGTGCGAATACCTTTTTCGGGTCCAGAATATGGGTCTTTCAATCCGCATAACCCGATTCTAACCAGTTCATTAAAATTATGTTTTCAGTAAAATTTGGAATTACAAAAATTTTCTAAATTTGACTAGTTGAACCCGGACTTTGGGGTTAAAAATCTGGGGTCCCGGGTTCGACCCCCAAGAAAAAAATAGTTTCCCGGGATCAGGGTAAAAATACCTACCACTGGTAAAAAGTGAAGAGTTTTTACTAAACTAGAGTTAAGCCAAAATCTGTAACATTCAAACGAATATATTGTAAAATATAAGTTAAAAACAAGTATAGAAAGTCCTAAAGTCGGGCGGGGCCGATTTTATGATACCCTACACCACTTTGCTAATTTAGTTGAGCTCAACATAACAATAAAAAGTTTTTATGGGAGAATTCAATCATACACGCTATGATTATAATTATTATTTAAAGTTCAAAGGACTAAATATGCCGAAGCATTTGTATCTTTTAAATTCGGACTTGTATTGCCCATTTGGTGCAAAATTAATTTGAAATCAGATAAAGATATATATGGGAGATATATCCAAATGTGAACCGATCTCGATAAAATTTAGTAAAGATATTTCTGAGCTGTATTTGATATATTTCCCTGAATATCGTTGTTACGGAGTGCATATTACAGCTGTGGGTAACAAATACAACAAATCGGATGAAGAGTATATACGGAGCTATAGATATATCTGAACCGATCTTCACCAAATTTGATATACTAGCTTCTAGACTCAATTCGTCATAAGTGCCAAATTCCATCCCATTTGGACAAATATTAGACGTTTGGTGCACAATAAAAGATAAATCTGACGAAGTTATATATGGACGCTATATCCAAATCTGAACCGATCTCGATAAAATTTAGCAAAGGTATTTCTGAGCTGTATTTGATATATTTCCCCAAATATTTTTGTTACAGAGTGCATATTACGGTTGCGGAGGACAAAAACAACAAATCGGATTAACAATATATATGGGAGCTATAGCTATATCTGAACCGATTTCGATCATATTTGGCATACTTATTTTCAGGCCTAATTTGGTTTGGTTGTGCAAAATTCCATACTATTCGGGCTGATATGACATGCACAATAAAAAGCAAATCGGACGAAGATATATATGGGAGCTATATCTAAATGTTTACCGATTAACTCCAATTTCAATAGGGTTCGTCCTTGGGCCAAACAAATGTTGTTCGGAAAATTTCATCTCAATCGGATAATAAATGCGACCTGCATTTTGTTCACAAGAATACATGGACAGACGGACGGACGGACGGACAGACGGACTGACATGCATAAATCAACTCAGAAAGTGATTCTATGCAGATCATCAAAAGGAACTATGGGTCTATCTCGTTTCCTTTTGCCTGTTCCAAACAAATGCACAAAGACATAATACCCTGACCACCTTGTGGTGTAGGGTATAAATAGTGGT